AATAATAATAACAATAATCATCAATACAGGTTTGAATGAGCATTTGAGAAACACAGTAGAAGAAACCTCAAGACAAAAATGTACGATTCGAGCAGGATGCCCTCAGTGGCTAGATCAACCCAAGCAATAGTCGGTGAAAATGGTTCAATACCTTTGAAAACTGATATAAGTTCGTTTTTAGGGTCGCGTTTTTCGGTGTGGCCGTGTCGACGGTCGCCACACTGGTTTGCGTGATATCTGTGCCATTACTGTACAACTATATGCAGCATATGCAATCGGTGATGCAAAGCGAAGTCGACTTTTGTAAGTCACGATCGAGTAACATCTGGCGAGAAGTTACACGTACACAGGTAAGCATTTCAATGGAGCTTTCTTACATTTGGTTCATTTTTTGCGGCGCTCATGTCATTGGGAGGGGGAGGGAGGGGTGATTCAAGTAAGTGAGGTGCTCACAGTACCTGGGACCAAGCGGAGAGAGGGTGAGGGGTTTGGGGAAAGGATGCTAGCAATTTTTGTCCTCCTTGGCGTTCATCAACCTGTTCCTTTCTTGCGCTTAGCCCCAGTGTCACCTACTAGCGATTTTTGTACGCCATGTTTAGAATTTCCCTTCCCTCCCCCTCCCAAAGACATGAGCGCCTATTTTTTGCCAAGTGATGGTATCCGTCTGAGCCAGAAAACCATCTCCATTGCTCCTGGTCAATTGAGCCCGTGATGGTCTGCCCTTCTATGCCAGGGTTTTGATTCCATAGAAGTACATAATTGTTCAGCTCCGCAATTTAATCGTATCATATGCTAAAAATTGGGCTAAATGCAGCTTTGGGCTCCGCTATCGTATAGCACGCAATCTAGAGCGCTGAAGCATCTGGAGAAATGGGTTCCTTCAGGGGGCATGGGCGAAACAGTCACATTCTTATAAGCAGAATCTCTCCCTCATAAACACTTAGCTGTTCGATCGATGCCTTGTTATGAGAGACTAAATGGATTAGCGCTCCAAGATTTCCCGATAACTATTGCAGGGCTATTGCGTCGTTAACGAATGCCCGATCTATCAAAAACTAGAGATCGAAGCGGCTGCAAATTTTCTGCACTAATTTCAATACACCGTAGTCTTTCCCTATCTTTGCCTCGCAACCCAAAGATTT